ATGCAAAATAAATCATTTATGTGATTCAGTGGATCGTGTTTATCACTTCATCTTTTGGACTCAGTATGTCGACAAAGCTGGACATGAACTATTTCATTTACCAAATGATCAACACTAATTTTTTTAGCCTATATGAGAATATAATTAAAATTCGGTGAGTTGCAATGTTCATTTCTTACAGGCCGTTTTATGGAATTTGTTAATTGGTGTATGAACTGGAACTATTTTCAGTGTTAAATAAATTTCAACATGAATCGTTTTTTCGCATTGTGTATGACCGAGACGGAATGTGTATTGAAGAGTTCTGTGCGCGAAATCAACCTAAAACCTGATGACTACTTTCTATGCTCGTATGTAGTTGCTTCACTTCATACATTATACTTATTTTGTCTGGCTTATGAAACGTTGTGCATTTAATTTTTTCGTTCGAAACAAGAGAACAAGGATTACAAAGTTTTCAAAGACAAAGACAGCAGGGAGATATAAAGTTACAAAGTTCTGTTTGAGGAAACATTCGAACGAGAAGTACGTGATCACACTAACAAAGTTGTGCAGAACATGATTTGCCAGGTTCGAAGATAATGGATACGACAACTAGCGTGACCTATATCCAGTCTATGATGAGAGCATCGGCTCAAGTGATGAGGCCAAGAAATGGATAAGGCTATATCTAGCATGGACGTCTTTGGCCGACTAAGTGGAGAGAAACATAAATCCAACGGCAATAAGAAAAGGGATGAGAGAACAAAAATATCAGCGAGGGAATTATCGTCTCTGTTGATCGCACTATGTTTGCAAGTGAGAAAGTAGCGGCCAAAATTGACAAATTATTTGGTCCCAATGTGCTGGATGCGAAGACATACATGAAAGAGTTGTTGGCGACAGCCAGACTGAAGAAAAAACTGACCTCTACTTTTGAACGTCCTCATCCCTTAAGCGAAACATGGTGATACTGGAGATACAAGATAATGCAAAATGAGAAGTTGGATTGGGTTGAGTAGAACTGGCAAGAGTACAGGGAAGCACAGTCATAGTATAAAGTGTGCGATAGAAAAATTATGCCTATTATGGGCGTTCTATGTGAACATTGCTGAGTTTTTTTTTTTTCTCTCCCTTTCGTGTGTAGCTTGTGTACTTTATGATTTCAAGTTCTATAGTATTTCAGATTTCATGCATCCATATCCGTACTGTCAACTTCACCTCATTCATATCTATATGTCATTTTTTAAAGCATGCCAATCCTCTTGTTACTTGGACTTATTCAACTTTTCCCCACGAATTATGGTGAAGCAATGATAATCCCACTAGTAGACTTACCATCAACAGCTTCAAGAATCTCTTTTTTTTTTTTTTTTTTTCTCGTTCGTGAACGTGATGGCAACACATTTTGCATTTGTATGGTTGAAGTGTTAGCAAATTCTATAAAAAAAGGAATAAAAAAAGGAACATGTAACCAACCTCTTACATCCTTCAAGAAAGTTCGCTACCAACTGTGGTTGATATTTTTCCTTCTGCTTCATCTCAAAGTAGTTAGGGCATTTTTAAATTCAGTGAGTATAGTAGAATGGCACAATTCGATTTTAGTTGTGTGTTTATGACTTATTCTGATTATGAAGACGAGATTAAGGATGAAGAATTTCCGTAACAGCTACATTATGACATTGTCAAATGGATTCATTACTATTGAAGAAATTGATGTCGCAAACTACTATCGTCAACAAGAGATGTTTGATTATTCATTTTTCGTTCGTGAGAAATGGACACATGTTCATGCTGTATGCCATGAAATGTAGTCCTCAATAGCGCTATATAGAATTCAGAATGTATCCAGCTATGCTGCGGAGTTTTGTACATATACTACGTGACGAATATTGATCGTGCAATTGTCAGTACATAGATGTATATGATCAAGTTGGGATATTTCTGTGCATATTAGCGTATGGAAAAGGATATAGACAATTTCATACGCTATTCAATCATTTTTTTAAAAACGATTGGACACTACTTCAAGATTGTACTGCAAGCAGCTATTGAATTTGGTGCTTGTTTAATAAGACCAGATCCGAAGTATAATCACGGTGTCGAGCATCACTTACCGAATCCAAAAAAGCATCTGTTATTCCGAAATTGGTGCGATTGACGAAATATGAGTTAGAACCGTCTTGCCTCGGGATGAACGAGTGGATTTTATCAGCCAAAAAGGAATTCCAACACAAAATGTTTTGCAGCATGTGATTTCAATTTGTGTATCACATTGGCACACGCAGGTATTACAGGGACGAAGCATGATTCACTCATATTGGCCCATGCTATACACAGTCTCGAAATTGAATTCCACTGTATGCTCGAGGAAAATATTATCTTATGGACACGGGATTCGCCAATAGACCTGAGTACATAGCTCTATATAAGGGGTCCAATATATTATATCATTTTCAATAGTTCTATGATGGTCAGACGGGTCGCAAATGAAACTTTCGCAATACGCTTGAGAAATTTAGCTTTATGCAAAAACGTAATCAAACATGCACTTAATGTCTAGAAAAGTCGACGAAAAACACTCGATAGTATGCCACGTTAAATTTCAAAGTGCAAACTGCAGTTGTCGTAACTACTATGGATATTCACAACATCCTTCGATAGGTAGGAGTTGTTGATGTGACATTCATAAGAGCGGAGACGAATCCCGACACAATGGAGGTAAAACTGTCGGACGAACACGAACAAGTTGCAACTGAATTGAATGCACTAGAAGTGCAACGAAATGAATGGGTTGTTTCTGTGATTGGTTGGCACAAACTCAGTGAGCGTGTGTGAGTGTAACAACACCGTCTTATTTTTAAATTGTTGTCATTCATTGTAGTATGGGTAATCGAAGGTTGTAATTAGAGGAAAATGGGAAAACATGATTAATGCAATCAACTTCCATTTTTGACTTTTTTTTTCCTTCATAATTTTCATGTGTCGGTTGGCTCACAAACCACATTAATGGCTGACAAAATGACGCTGCACCTCAATGAAAATGGTCAAACGTAATTTCAAATTGCTACCAAATTCATGCCACATGCATGAGGGACAAAATGGTAAAGTCCAGGCGAAGTGTAATGAAATCCACATTACACGCCTTGTAAGTGGGCCCCTATGATGTGTGGGAGAAAATCAATCCATCAGGCCCAGACATGCGCATAAATATATGTAAAGGCAGGGATGGTAATCCATCAGCCACAAGAAGCTGGTTTTTGTGTGGAAAAGTGAGAGAAAAATGGCCCTGAAATTGTATGTGGATCGGCTGTCCCAGCCTTCTCGTGCAGTTCTTACCTTCTGCAAGTAAAAATTTCTCTTTTCATTTTGTTCTGTTTCTTGAAAATGTATTTTTTTGCATTGTTTTGGGATTAAAAATTGAAATCTTTCTTTTTTATCTGACATTTATATTATTTGATCTTTGTTTTGTTAAGGGTAAACGGGATCGATTTTGAAGAGGTTAAGATTCAACTCGCCAAAGGACAGAATTATTCTCCTGAATATGCAGGTTCAATCTGATGGATCCTGCATTTTTACTTTAGTGTGTAATCATTTAAATCTTCTCTTCAACGCGTCTATGTGCAAATCGAATTTGCTTTTTGATCCATATTTTTAAAGATGGGCGTTGACCACATCTTTTGCACATAGGCGGTGGCTGTGATCTAAAGGCATAAACTTTTAAATTTTTTTGGAATTACTTTTTCTTATTTATAAGTGAAAAAGTTTTTTTTTTTTTTTTTGACAGAAATGTGAATTGTTGTAATTATTTCCAACTGTAACGAAAGAAAGGAATTATTTATTTTAAAACTTAAATTTTTACCTATATTTTAACCTTTCAAGCTTAACCAAACATACAATATAAATCAGAAGAATATTGTTCAACGTGTTTGAATACTATTTCTAATTTATAAGTACAAAAGTCGATAATTGTACAAAATGCAAGGTACTTATTTTCAACTTTGATTTTGAAGCTTACTCTCTCCTTTTTTTTTTTTATTTTTATTTTTTTTTTTAATGCAAACTTTTGACTTGGCCACTATAATTAAGAAATTTATTGTTCAATACTGTGTATCTCTGTGTTTGCTATGGTTATTACAGAGGTAAATCCCATGAAAGAAGTTCCAGCATTAGTGCATGGAGATTTCAAGCTTTTTGAGAGGTACCCTTAATGTTTGTGTTACTCATAAAGTTACAGTTTTGTCTTCGGGCATGTATGTGTCTATTGGATAATGACATGTCAACGAAATTTTATGCCACTCAATCTTAGCTTGAAATTATGCTCGAATAACAAAAAGAGATGATGCATCATTGATTTTATGAGAAAGTTTGATGATTTATGTCGGGCTAATTAGCCGAGATCAAGTAAATACATGACAACTTTTTGAAGACGATGTTTGAAAATTCCGAGTAGAAGCTATTACGAGAGATCATTAACTGGAGTATGGAAGAATAACAAGAAGAAATAGATGCAGCATTTTTTTTTTTAAAACATTTTTGCCAAAAATACATATTACTACTAGGAGATAGGCTCTAGTTGTTCTCTTTTTCTTTTTCTAAAAGCTATAGCTTATGGGGAGATACAATCCATCATATATTACTTGAAATCAGGCCAAGTAATTCACCCCAAGCCCACTCCATTTTGGGCTCACTTTGAAAGGACACCTTATGAAGGTGCCTTTGGGCCATATAGGGACATATGCCCAACCCAAGTTCAAGCATGCTCCTGTATTAGCTCTATTTTTCCAATATCAATGAAGAGCAACAGCAAAAACAAACTAACCATTGTTACAATAAATTGGAGTCGACTACATGAATCTTTTTCCCCACTCGATTTGGTTTATTGCTGGGATCTAAAGTAACTAGATCCTTAGCAATTACAATATGCCGTGTTAGTTTTTGGTTATCCCTCAATCTCTTATTTATTCTGAGGAAAATATGTCCGCACCACTTAGTCATAAAATGTAATATAATTTTAACCGAACTCTAGTATAGGCTCACTAGTAAACACTATTATCTAGTGCTATTATCTGAGCTTTAGTTGGCTGATGCAAAACCTGAAAAATAGTGTTCCAGCTTGTTCTGTTTCTATTCCCAGTTCAATCTCAAGCAAACTTAGGTGAGCATGGACAAGCTATTCATAGAAGCTCAAGCAAAACTGCTGCACTTTTTTTGTTTGCAAAAACCTGATCTTTTCATTTATAGACAATATACATAAAACCAGTGTTGTTGATGCATTTGCCTCATCTATTTATACATGTATTTATGTTCATTATATGAAGATTATTGCTTTCAACATTTTTTTTTCCAATTCAAGTTTGTAAATATATGAAGATCTATTATTTCTGTGTTTGTTTGCAAATCTGGTGCCCTCTGCAGTCATGCCATGCTCATCTATCTAGCTTCGGCATTTTCTGGAGTTGCGGATCACTGGTATGTTCCGTTGCTTCTTTGCTTTTGCTGTTAGTCACATCTAGATTTTTCAGATGAACTAAATGATTGATATACTGCACTAGATTTTGACATAGAAATATGAGTGTGGCCATGGGAATTTGTATTGCAATACTTATTCTCCTATACCAATGCAAACTCTTAGAGTGCTTCAGTGTCATTTTAATCGAAAATGCGTTTACTTCTACGTGCAACAATACAATTTGGTCAAAGTATTGCGCCAATCCCCTTGTTTCTGTAACCCATTTTTCTGATTTATTGAATTAACTCATCTGAAAGCTTATGCTATTAAGAGGGGACAAATTTATTTAGTTTAATTATCTTCAACACCATTTGCAAAAAAAGTAATTGTTACTGCTACTCTCTTTCATGGTCATACAAGTGTATGGTCATGGAACCCTTTACTAGAATCAAGTCAATAATACCCTAGCATGCTCATTAAAAAGATTTGACTACGATGCGGACTAGGTATGCGTTAATTACCCAAGTTTTGATGTATAGTTGATGTGAAATAGGTCTTAAATTGTTTTGGAAAGCTCTCTCTATGTTTTAGATGGTATCATCAGATCAGTACCCTATCCATATCCAATATATGATTTACGAATTCTGATTCTGCACCATTATTCTTCTTATGCGGTAGGTATCCAGCTGATCTTCAAAAAAGAGCACAGATCCACTCGGTGCTCGACTGGCATCACTCTAATTTGCGACGTGGCTCAGGTGAAATTTTGTTCGTATGAAGAAGTTTAACTGTGGTTGATAATCATGCAAATGCTAATAGTTTTCATTGATTTTTACTGCTATCTACACTTCATCTTGGGAAGAAAAGGAATTTCTTTGAGAATAAATTAACAAAGAAGAAACTCTTATTAAAACATAATGTTTTCTAGTTGTAGCTCTACAATTAGTTTTATTAGCTGCAATGATTTGTGGGGGTGCTTTAATCATTTGACATTTTGATGGCTTGGTTGTTTTATGGATTATGCCTGAATTTTTTTTTATTATTTATTTATTTATTTTTTTTGGAGAGCAATAATTATTATATAAGCAATCAGAAAAAAATGCAATCGAGTGGAAAAGTGTGATAGTGTATAGCATGATTAGGCTCCAAACTGCCAGCATGTCATTACACAACAGCCAGTTCATTCTAGTAATTCATTTTACGGATTTTGCTACTTGTACATAAAAGTGGTACATAAGCGGTTATCGAAGATGATATGAAGGGAAAAGATTGGATGAAAAAATTGACTGTGTTTTACTAACAAACAATAAAGTGCCATGTGGACATTATGTAATCTCTTATATAAACTTTGATGTACATGTAGTAAGGTTTTTCATTTATTTTTGTCTTTGAGTATTGTGATAAAATTACTATTGTTGGCATTCTCTTGCTATCTAACAAGCCTATATTTTCTTTCAATAATGATTTATTTGCAGCTACATATATCTTTAATTCCCTTATCGCACTTGCGTTGGGGCGCCCTTTGAACCTGGAAAAAGCAGCTGAAGGTGAGAAAATTCTGATAGCATCTCTTGCAAAGATCGAGTCCTTTTGGCTTCGGGATGATGGCCCATTTTTGCTCGGAAACTCTCAACCTTCCATCGCAGATCTTAGTTTAGCATGTGAAGTCATGCAACTTGAGGTAACAACGAAGCAATCTTCTCGTCATTGGTTAAATACACAATCACTGAACTTTTTAGCGAAATTTCAAGTTGTCATTAAAATATTTTCTTTGAAATTAGTTATTGATTTTCGATTTCGTTCCGGTTGAGTCACACCAATCCACGTCAATTAGTTTGGATCTTTCTTGAAGAAATCTTTGAGAAACTTAGATATCGTTTCTTTTCTTTCTTCCCTCTCTTTTTTGAATTAGCTTGTTGAAACTAAGGATCGTGATCGCATTTTAAGCCATCATAAAAGAATTCTGAAGTGGGTCGAGGATACGAAGAGTGCTGCTGCACCTCATTTTGAGGAGCTACATTCTTTAATGTCCCCAGCCAAAGAGAAGCTACTGAGCCTGAAGTCCTTGGCAACTAAGGAGGCAGAATCCCATGGGAAACTTGCTTAGCATTCTCAGACGAAAAATCCAGGCAGAGAACAACAATGTTGGTATGTTTAATAAGATGAATTGGATAATATAGGATGATAATAATGAAAAAGAATTTAATAGTTTCGTCTTGTCCAACACTACTTATCGAATATCCACTGTGTAATATTAATAAAAAAAAGAATTTAATTATTTTGTCTTGCCCTGCTTATCCAAGAACATTATATGTAATATTCAATTATCAAATATTATCTTTGTTTTCCACCGTACTTCCTCGTGAGACATGCTACTACCAAATTTGCTGTTGCCTTGTTTCGAAATAAGAACGATAGTAGTACTATAAACTAACCGTTATCCATTTTCAAAGGTCAATTCTAGTATTCTCCATTTACTCTGTCTATGGATGCTTGACATGCAGTACTAGACAATGATTGGATGCTATAACAATCAAAATTTTAGTTTCTTTTTCTATGAACAAGGTAAACCGAGCACAATAATCCCACACATGATTCATCACTATCAAAGCTAAACAATCAGACCACAATTTTTCCTCTTTATCTCGAGTATCCAGCTTCTTTGTTCCGAAGTAATTTTACAACAAAAGAGTGCAACATACAGCACTCACTGAAGAGCCTGCCATTGCTGCTCCGGCAATCCATGGAGGTAGTCGGAATACAGTGGACAGGGTAACGGCGGTTGGAATACTTTGGATATTGTAACCTAAAAGCCCAGAGATAGTTGAGGCGGATACTGAAAAAGGTTGCACGCGAAAAGTCTGGCAGTTATGACATCCTCCAAATTGCTCTTCATTGGAAGGATGTCGGCTGCCTCAATTGCCATTCCGATGTCTGCAGCTACAAGGGCTGGCGAGTCGTTGATTCCATCTCCCACCCTTGCCACAACATTTCCTTCAGGCTGTAGACACAAAAAAAATGTAGAATCTATGCAACTAGAATACAAAATTGGCACGGGGTATGTCAAGATGTGTAAATTTCATGTAATAGAAAAAATTTGTGCAAAGCATATTCGCTATACTGGCTTATTCCGAGGAAGACAGAGAGGATTTGAGTAGCCGGAAAAAGTAGACTATAGGCGTGCAGTGACGCTAAGCATGAAGAAGGCACATGTTAGTTAGTTACTGTTTGACTACCAATTTTAATTTAATTTAATTTTTTATTTATTTATTTTTTTTTTGGGAAGAATGAGTTTTTAAATAGTAATTTTTTGGAGAATGTATGGTTAAAAGTAGGGAACATTTTGAATTTTTGTGAGAATATTTTATTTAATTAATGTGTGATTGAAAATGAATTTGATAAAAAGAGTTTTGAAAAAATGATTAACGAGTAGATTTCCAATTTCTCGACTAGTTAAATTTTTGGCATTGTACTTTCATTGACCGGTGGTCATGTCATATGTCCTCTCTTAAGTTTGTAGTTTATTTTTGAGGAACTTGCACCCGTTGACACTTTTTCGGTTGTCATTTACAAAAAGTCATATTTTTATAATTTTGACAAATGTCATTTATGGACTCATTTGCCTCTCCCAAAAAAAAAAAAAAAATTAAATTAAATTAAATACTTTTGATGTCTTTAAATAATGGAGATTTGATTAAATAAAAAAATAGTACAAAAAGTAGATAGACATCATATTAAGCCCTAGTTTGGTCCCACTCTTATCAAATTTTAATAGTTGAAATAATATTTTTTTGAAAAATGTGTGGTTGAAAAAAAAATAAAAAGTTGTTTATTTGCGTATAATATTATTTTATGAAAAATTATGTGATTCAAAATAAGAGATAGGTAAAGAATGAGAATGAGAATGAGCGCCAAACGAGGGCTAAATCCTCCCCACCCTCAACACAACAGTCAGTTTCTAAACCCAACTGCAAGACCTTAACCAATCATGCTATATAGTCCAACTCAATGACATAATTTTTTTTCCAAAGACAACACATGGCAATTTTTCATTGGAAATTGGAAAAAAGCAACACAAAAACACTCAATCACATACTGCCAAGTCAGCATTCTTTTCCCTGTTTAAACAGCATTTTTCAACCTTATCCCATAATATTTCTCACTTTCATTTTCTTCTTCCCAAAAATTATTTTTGGCGATTTTTTCAGCCCACGACTTTCTTTTTCAAAAAATCACTTCCGATAATTTTACCCATTTTCAAAAGGAAGTCCGATGAACTAAGATCGTAAATCCGTAATTAGAATAATGATTTTCTTCTTTCCAAAAAGTCCAATTTCTTCTTCCACGCAACTATCGACCTCAAAGATTTAGATTTAATTTTTCATTAGTGAAGCCAGTCACAAAGTATTGCAATATTTTGTGCTAAAAATATGTGCTTGGGGGCATAGATTTTGCAATATTTCTCATATTTTACATGAACTATAGTATATTTCTCATATTCTGCAATATTTTTATAACATATTTTGCACTACTTATAGATTACTTGTTGATTTGTGCTAAAAATATTTGTTTGGTAGACATTTTCTATAATCATTAATTTCAATAAGGAATACTTTTTGCAATTAGGGTTGTAGAAATGAAATAATAAGCTGGGTTTTAATTGCATTTGTTGCAGAAGAAAGTTTGTAGTTGAGATTCTATTTACATGTTGTAGGTGTTATTTATTTTTATTAATTATTGAAAGAGTTTGGTTATCCCATTTTGGTGATGCTTTGTTAATGCTATAGAGACTTCCCATTATTTGTTATGGAACTCATAGGTCGTGATAAACTGTCAATCTCTAAGGTTATAAAATCCATCCGTCGAGATTAACTGTTGTTTTTTTACAGTTAAGTTATGAAATTCTCGATGTTACCTACTTTTTCTTGAATTTTTTTTTTCATATGCCTCATTTGGTTAAGCTGCTCTTCTAAGTGTGTTACATATTAAATGTACGATATATCATCATCTTATCTTTGTTATTTCTTCATATTACTATTTTTTATAGATGAATTTCAAATTCTTTTTGTCGGAAGAAAATCGACTTCACGCATGCATTCCTTTTAATTGTTGTGATGCACTTGTATTCACATTTTGTTATTTAGTTCGGATAACACTGTACATCTATTGTTGACGTCATGTAGTATCTAGTCCATATATATGTATATACATTTATTCTAGCTAATTTATTCCCATTTCATTAACTATATGATTGAGTTAATTTGAAATTGTAAATGGGTCTTGTGATGTGAGATTTTATCTTTCAATAAATTATTATTATTATTATTATTATTATTATTATTATTATTATTATTATTATTATTATTATTATTATTATTATTATTATTTTACTTATTTATTTTTTACCTAGACAATCCCAAAAAGGAGATAAGCTATGTGTTAGATTTTGCTGACGTCTACTGAACTTGACATATATTGTGCAAGTATATAGAAATCAATACTGCTGGAGTTAAAATTTAGATTTCCAAACTGTGGTGACCATTATGTGTCTTCTCATTTTGATTACAAACATCATATTAATTGAGTGCCCGATCAATTATTATGCTTGAAGAATTTGTTTAGTTTGCTACTCACCAATTGTGAAATGTCAAGAAAATCAGAGTACACCTGTTATGAATTGTTAACAGATTAGTTATGTGATTCATCTGTTGAGATGAATTATCGTTCTTGACAATTAGTTTCAGTTATTTACGAAATTTGATTAAATCTCGACATATTAGTTGTCATGTGTCAATATGAACTATCGTTCTCAACAGCTAAAATCAATATTTCTCGACAGATGACTACTTTATATAGATCAATTTTGCACTCATATGTCGACATGTCCAACTATGATTTATTTGAACATCATATGTATGTTTTGCATTAACTTTTACAAATTATTATAATCTTACCTCTTTTACTTTCTTGTTGTACTTTGTTTTTGTGGATGAATTTTGAATTCCTACTCCCTGAAAATAAGCACTTGTGCACCCATATTTTTCAAATAAGCAATTTCAAGTTCATGAAAATCGTATTGAAAAATTTTGATGGTTGACAACGAGAAGATTTCGATAACTCATACCTTGTGTTCCTGGTTGAGTTACTTGACATACAATTTTCAACCCAATTGTTGCAACAACTAATATTCAACTTGATTAGGATTGATAAGGCAAAGAAGATATGGTGGTTGTATATATATGTGCTTATGCATCTTCGAGAATTGTTGTTTCTCATATGCCGTGTTTGTTGGATGTAGGGTAGATGTTGCTATCTTTGTGATATGGGAACTTATCATTTCATCATTCCTCATTTTCTTTGTTGTTTCTTTGCATTATAGACATTTGAGGCTTAGTCTTATTTTGATATTGATTACAATGCTAGTGCTTTTATGCATGAAAATTATAAAGCAAGATAGATTGGCTCGAAAAAATAAGCGAAGAATGCTTCTTTCATTATCTTTTTACAAACCAATGAAGTGAAAACTCTTTTGCAATCAAGTAACTTGTGAGAATCTTTGGCCAGTGCTTTTATAGCACAAAATTTTATTTGTTTTAGAGAAATGGTTTCTCTTCGTCTTTGACATATTTGTTGGTTTGTTTGATTAACACAGGGCAAAGTTGAATTGTTTGATTAAGTTCTGATTATGAAAACTTTAAATATCAAAATACCTTAGGACAATTGCTTTTGTTATTCTTGCATATATAAAATTTATTTCCATATCTGATACACATATCATAAGTAAAAGAAATAATATTAATAAAACTACTTAAATCATGTTCTTTCATCTTGAATGTTCCCTAACAGTAAATAATATGTTCTTTGGGCAAGTGCTATATTTAAAATCAAAATGTATTCATGATCATTGATTACCAACAACTACAAAAGGAAACTTTATAATAAAATGGTACACACACACACACACACACACACATTTGTATGTTTTGGTAAACTTCCGCTACGACAAATGAAGGATTTTGGAAATTTATATCCCTTCCTATGTCAACAATTGGAAGCTCGATTTCTAAAATAGTAACGCATATAACAGTTTCATTATAAATTGATATGTACCAATTTAAGTCTTCATTTTTGTGTATTTCGGCCGGAGGTATATTCACGTTTAGGACTTTGAACTTCAATTTAGTTTGAATGTAGGGATCAAGAACACCAAATTTGTCCTCCAGTTGTAGCACAAGTCCGACTAAGGTGATACTTATCTAAATTTCAATTGAAGTAGTTTTATCCACTCTCCACTTCTATTTGTTATCTAGATGGACAAACTTTCCACAAGGGACACAGTGAATATTAAATGATTA